CTAGGGCTCCGCCCTGCCCAGGGGCGCCTGCATCCCCCACCCGGTGTGCTGCCGTGCGCTTCGTCCAGGCCGCGACCCCTGGCTCCCACCCCAGAGACCCCACCCCTAAGGCTCCTGCCCTCTCCCGTTTTCTACCATGTCCTCACCTAGAGGCCCCAGCCCCACACCTGGATCCAACCCCAGAAAACCTATCCCTGGGGTTCCTGCCCCCTGCACCACCTGGTGTGCTGCCAACCCCCACTCCCACCTTGAGGCCTCCCGACCCAGTTTCCACCAGGAGCTGACACCCCCGATTCCCTGTCCTGGGACTTAAAAGAGCTTTCCAAATATTTACCATTGCTAAGGGAAATATCAAAAGGTACTAGATTGAACAGCACATAACTTTAAACATCATTGGGGAAAAAAATCACAGGGGGTTGTCTTCATGCTTAGTTTTTGGGTGCAGTGCTAACCATGAGGATTTCCAGCTTCTGGTTACTGATATATCAAGGCATGAGGCACCCAGGGCAAGCGCCACCAGTAGCAATAGAGTGGAGTGGTTCTTCCATTAGTTTTGTTTTATTTTTAAAAATTGGAGCTAACTACTTCCCAGTCCGTAACATGAGTGATGATGACCATGCACAAGGAGGAAGGAATTATCAGACCGGCCACTCTGTGGTTGTTCACCTGGCTGGGATTATTGGTATTATATGCAGTTTCTGTACGGGAACTTTACAGGGTTCAATTGCAAATACTGCAGAGCCAGGATCTGGACTCCTACTCCAGTGCTCCCCACCTGCCTCCCCCGTGTGGCTACTGGGCAGAGGTGGAGGTGGAAATTCAAAGCCCACCATGCAGACAGGTCCAGGGTACAGGGGAGAGGTCTGGACAATGGTGGGCAGGGGCTGGGCATCCTGCAACCTGACCTGCAGGAGGGTAAAGCAGATGTGCTGGGACACCAGCTGCATGTAGTCTGTGGCCAGCAGCATCACCTCCTCCTCCAAGAAGCCCACTGCAGCTGTGGAGCTAAGAGTAGGGACATGGTGGATGAGAATGGCAGGGACCAGAGGACTGAGAGGGTGTCCCTGGGGAGAAATGACCCTGGAGTCTCCTAGCATCTCACAGGAGTCCCAGGATCCCCCCCACACCCACCTACCCGACAGGGCTGGAGCACACTCATGTGGGGGGTGATCTTCTGTAGCTGCCCCCGCATCACCTTGTTGTACATGGAGCTCACGTCTCGCCGGAGGTCATCATACTCTGACACGGTGATCTGTGGGTGGAGATCGGAGTGGACCCAGTCCTGCCCCACGGTCCCCTCCCCAGCCCTCGGCATCCCCCAGCCCACACCTGCTCACGTTGGCCAGCTGCTGCTCCAGCCGCAGGATTTCCTGGGCTTTCTGCTCCACTGCATCGGCACCCAGCAGGCTGAGCAGACGCTCCATGAACACCCGGTATG